AGGTGGGAGGGGGCAGGAGTCCGGCTGCGGCGCTGGCCCCGCTCACATCTCTCTCTCCTCTTCAGATTTGCAGATGGTGAACATTTCACTGCGTGTTCTCACACGCCCCAATGCTGCAGAGCTGCCCAGCATGTACCAGCGCCTGGGCCTGGACTATGAGGAGCGAGTCCTGCCTTCCATCGTTAATGAAGTGCTCAAGAGCGTGGTAGCCAAGTTTAACGCTTCACAGCTCATCACTCAGAGAGCCCAGGTGAACTTTACTGGAGGAGACTTACACTCACATTGCAAAGAAACTATGAGGAACGTTATAACAAAGGAAGCATAAATATATTCGGCTGGTAGATGGTGCATCCAAACGGAAGGGGAATGGAACTGTATCCCGCTTACAGTTTGATTCTGATACAGATACAAACACTAAGGTTGTACCACTAGCTTCTGAAAAGAAAACTGGATTCATTGGTATATGGAGTGCAAAACTGCACCGTAATGTAATGATGGGGGAGGGAAAGCTGGTTTACATCATAGTCCACAGGTAACAGTAGAACTGGCTTTAAAAAAATTATTAGCTGGCCCTTCATGGGTCTCAGAAGAGCTGTCAGAGCAAACTAAACAGTTTTAAAGGATCTGAAAAGCGAAGTGGATGAGCAGTTAACAAAGCAGTAAACTGTCAGTAATGGGTGCTACAGAAGGGTAGCAAATACTTCTGTTTAGAAAAAGATCACAGAGTAATCTGGGCGGGTTGCAAAATAATAGCAATACTTAGCTTATAAAAGCCTATACCTGAAAGTTTGTGTTCTGATCATTTGATTGCCAGGGATTCTGAGAATATCTGTCACCTATCAGAGCTGAGGGAGAGAAAAGTTGCTGATCTTCTTTTAAAAGGCTTTAGAGGAGGTCCTGTGTGAGACTGCTAAAGAGGATAAGTTGTCAGAAAGATGAAATACAAAGCATCTCTCAACTAGTTGTTGATCCATGACAAAAAAGCAAAGAGTAGAACTAAGCACCCAGGTCTTCTTCTGAGAACTGAACCATAGCAGGGACCTCAGGGTTTTGTGCTAGACCGCATGCTGTGCACTGAAGGGATTTGTTAATGATCTTGTATAAAGAGAATGAGTGGAAAGGGAGGATGTGACAGCAAAGAAACAAATGTCTGCAAGGGATTTAGGTTTATCAGAAGCAAAGAACACTTGGGTATCTTTGCAATTCCTGAACAAACTGACTTGAATTTACTTTCTTGTCATGTATTCATCTAGTGTTGGTTACTGTGAAGTGATGCATATTGAAGCGGTTGATAATCAAAAGAAAATGAAGTGACTTTACATAGTTACATGCTCGCAGTTCACTCAGTAAAGGATTCTGGCATCATTTTGGAACTCTGCTCAGAAACAGCTGCAATAAAAGTAAAAGCAAATGCTAGACTGATCAAGGATGTGATACTGTAGCAATAATTTGTATTGTACTGTAGCGCATAATAATGTGCGCTCGCAGCCCAGAAGGCCAACCGTATCCTGGGCTGCATCCAAAGAAGCATGGCCAGCAGGTTGAGGGAGGTGATTCTGCCCCTCTACTCTGCTCTGCTGAGACCCCACCTGGAGTACTGTGTCCAGCTCTGGAGCCCTCAGCATAAGAAAGACAGGGACCTGTTGGAGTGGGTCCAGAGGAGGGCCACAAAAATGATCAAAGGGATGGAACACCTCTCCTATGAAGAAAGGCTGAGAGAGTTGGGGTTGTTCAGCCTAGAGA